CCCCGGAGGTAGAGGCGGGAGGGTCCCCGCCAGCGGGCAGGGATCTGCCTGCAAGGCTTTTGAGAGCCACCCACCTTGAAAATCCTGAAGGAACTGCACAAACTTGAAAGCTTTGCTCAGAAATCCGCCCTCTCCAGCTCTTTGCATGGAGAGCGGAAAGCAGGAACCCTCCCAGCCACGGAAAATAAATAAATCACACACGCCATCTCCCGGCCGCCGAGCCGGGACCCAAACCTGCCCCGAGCAGGGCCTGCTTCTGCACGCCCGGTTCCTTCCCCGCCCGCCGAGCCGGGACCCAAACCTGCCCCGAGCAGGGCCTGCTTCTGCACTCCCGGTTCCTTCCCCTGTTTTAAATCAAGATCCCATCCTTTTCCCATGTGAGAGGGCATTTAGTCACTTGGCACAGCGCTGCCGCGGCCGAGCACATCTACCCACGTCCAAGGACACCGGGAAAATGCTGCGTCCGGGGGCTGGTCGGCTCCTGCTCCCAGGTTTCTGGAGTCCATCCTATGAACCAGGTGGTCCAGCCCCTGGTGCAAGGGAAGGAGGACTCCTGAGCATATCAGCTCTGAACCGGCCTCACTGATGTGGAGATGGACCCAGGCTGGTGTGGACCGCGCTCAGGGAAGGCTCCCAAGTCCGTGCGACATCTCTCCAGCAGCTACAGAAGGTCAGCAGCCTCTGGGCTCCGATGAGCTGCGAGAATTGTCTGGGAATGATGGACGCTCGTCCCGTCCCAAGGAAAAGGCGCTTTGCTCGCCGAGATCAGCCAGCCTGGAAAGGAAGGAGGGAAGACGAGGAAAAACAACAGCTGGGATCTCTTTCTGGGGCGAAGGATGCAGCTTTTCCCAGGGCTCATGTAACAGAGGCTAGATGGAATGCCAAGCCCTGGGAGGAGGCAGGTGTTTGCAAGGATTTGCTGGATTTGGAGAAGCAGGTTCTCCTGGGAGGTCTCTGTGGGCCAAGCCCCATGTCCCACCAGCGAGCCGGTGCCGGCACTCCCTGAGCTGGCATCAGCACCAAGAGACGCGCCTCTGGGGCTACCGAAACGTACGGGGTTCATGAAGGTTTGAGGTTACTGCACCCTGCTCAGTCTCAGGAAAGGGGAGAATTTAACCTCTTTTATCCTGCCGATTGCATCTTTGTCAGCATCTTCTTTCTACTGCCATAACATCGGGAATTACAAAGTGAGGAGTGCAATTCCTGCCTGGGGTTGGTGGTCTGCCAGCAGATTTCCCTGGTAGGAAGATCAATATTAAGCAGGATTTGTACAGGAGCTAAGCAAATTTCTCAGTGGGACATTAACCCCAAGACACAAAAGCAAGTGCATGACAAGAAATAATTATTTTTTTTCATTATGCATGAGCTTTTCTAATTGGTACCTCCTTCTAGTATCAGCAGGGCTAAAGACATTTTTAAGCGTGCAAAATTTAAGACAAGACAACTATTAATCTCTAATTTCCATGCAGAAAAACAAACTGAGTGCCAAACTGACTAACCAGGAGCAGGAACCAAGAGCACCAGGTTTCCAGCGCAGAGGCAGCGTGCGCTCGCGAGCTCTGTGCCCGGGAGCCAGGACGCCTGCGATACGTTCCCCGAGCTGCTGAGGTCCCCAGACTCTGCGTGCTGTACGAACGCTGGCACGTTAAACCGTCAGCTCAGATGAAAAACCAACAACTTGAAGACTCATCTGGCTGAAGTCTGAGCTGGCTCGCGGCAGTGCTTGCGGGTGACGAGCGGCAGCTCCGAGCGTTTCTTCGTGCTCCGTGCTTGGCACAGACACAAGCCTGGAGCGACGGGATCCAAACATCTCGCAGAAGGGCTGATTTCCATGTTAAAGCGCTTATCTCAAAGCAGTCCAACCCAACTGGTTGACATCCAACAACCAGTGAAGGCCAGTACTGATCCAAAGCCCCGTACCCATAAAATACCCCCCTGCTCCCCCAGCGGGGCCCTGATCATTTCCTATTACAAATTCAGGTTGGATCAGCACCCCACCCCCCGTGCAGCGAGCCACATTTGGCCTCTGTTCAAAGCTCCTGTGGCATTTTGAGGCAGAAGGAGGGGTTTTTCTGTAATGCTTTTTCTGCAGGAAAAAGCTGCTGCAAGCGACCTTGCAGCTCCTAAAGGAGAAGACCAGAAACTCGAAAGAAGAGGCACATGCCTTGTCTGCCTTGCGTTGCAATGGGAAGGCGGAACAAGGGCCAGTAAGGCAGCCGGGACGGATCCAACATGGTGGGTCACCCGGCGCGGAGGGTCACCCGGCGCGCCGCTCCACGTGATGGGCTCGATATCTGAGATTTCAGTAGCTGCTGTTAGAGGAACCGGAGCAGAGTTACAGGGACTATTTTTTCATGCTGTAATTTAACTCCATGGAGTAACCTAACCTGGAGGCAGCCATGACTCGAGGCTGGCCGAGCATCCTTGACCTCACAGCTGTGTTTTCTCCGCAGGGTTTTGCAGGCGTATAGAGATGCAATGGAGGTAGAGTCCAGCACGTACACCGACTTTATTTCCTGCGATCGGGCTGGCCGGAGGAACGCTGTCCACGACATCCAGCGAGAGGCAACCACCATCAGCATGCGCAAGCTGACCGAGGACCTAGGTGACCTCGCCGTTGAAGGAGCAGGTGAGCGGCCACAGACACCAGTAAGCCCAGCTCCTGGCACCCAGGCTGGAAGGGCAAGGCACGAAATGGCTGCGCAGCTGACCAGCGCTGTGTCTGGGAGCATCGCACAGATGCGCGGGAGGAAAATCCCATTCCTCGCTGCGGTCAGTGCCTTCATGCTCCGTGGGTACCCAGCTAGTGGGAGACTCCCCAGGCCGAGGGGCTCTTGCAGTGAACGGGATGGTCCTGGGGTTCCTGGCACACGAGCCCTGCACGCTCCAGCCAAGGCCCTTTGCTCGGCTGGTTTGTAGAGCATCAGTCCTTAAACAAGACAAGGACTGACCAAGAGCCTTCCCAGGGCAAACTACACGTCAGGTATACCTTAGGCTTTATAAAAATCAAGCGTGGGGCAGGCAGGTTGTGGTTTGCTTTTTCTCTGTTGGTTGGTTTTGTGGGGTTTTTTTCAAATCAGCCTTCAAATAGTCCCACAGTATTTTAAATAACAACAGAAATAATTTGAGAGACCACCAGCCATCTTCAAATCTTCCCCTGTAGCCCAGACATGGCAGCAGTATCACCCTGCTCAATATATGCCGGCCATCTGACTACAAGAAGCAGGAATCCTCTGTTCAGTGCACAAGCCAACCAGCCACTCTGATTTCACTAATAAGCAACAAAACGTACGCCAGAGGGTAAACTCATTTTTTGCCCTTGCTCTTTGTTCCTCCAGCCTACAATCTGTAACTATAAAAACACTTTAAAACACATAACCCCAACTGTACTTCTTCAACACGTCCATACTAGCAGGTGACCATGCACCCGTCCATAATAAGCACAAATTGGAGCTCTTCTAAGAGACAGCAACTCGGGTAGCTGCCAGGCTGTCGGGCAGACATTCCTGGAGCACTTGCAAGTTGCCGTTACAGGTTGGACAAGGAGAGCACATCCCTGCCCCGAGGCTCCCTCCCGGCATCGCCGATGTGTTGAGAAGCGTTCGTACTCCAGCAACGTCAAGGGAGAACCCAATACTCTTAAGCCAAGTATCTGGCCACAGGAGGGTAGCGATAGGTCTTCAGGTGGCAATCTGAATAAAATCAGCAATAGCAATTACTGATCACTTGTGTCCTCAACAGAGTGTAACGGTGCTTTCTTCCCAATCCTCCCTTCTGCAGAAAGCCAAAGAGATGCCTCTTCTTCTGAGAACGACCCTGGAGCAAGACCAAAGGGGCAAGAAAACAGCCCCTCCCCGTGACAGTGTACAGGGGGTGGGATGGGCAGGAGGAGGGCCTTGCTGTGAACATTAAACAAGAATTTGCTATTGAATCCGTGGACAAAAGCCAACCTGGAACAGCAAGTTGTCTGTCAAACGCCTCTGCCGCAACCATTTTTATTTAATTTCAGTAGCGGACTGGTGCAAGGACTGGCGCAAGGACTGGCACCTCCAAAAGACTTCTGCTCCCATCCCTAAACGATTTAGAGCAACACTGCCGTGGTTGTAGTGATATGAGCCATTCTCAAGATGCCTTAGCTGCAATTTTCCCCTAGGGGAAAAAACAATTTCAGTAATAATAGACACATCAGACTTTCCTGTCCAAGGTACCTTCCTCCTTTACAAATTTAGACTATTATTTATTCTGTTTCCATAGATTAGAAATTTAGATTATTGTTTTTTCTAAGCCTCACCCTCACCTGCATCTTAGACCTGACCTGGCCTCTGGACTGTCCATGCGGCCCCTCATCAGGGTGGGCAGTGGGGAAGGGACCCGGCCAGTCCTGCTGCCTTCATGTCAAGCACCACTCACCTGTGCTGCTGCCACTTAGCATCAGGAAAGGACCAAAGCACAGCTCTGTGTGGACGAGCTCCACCTACAGACCCAGCAGCACCAGCCACAGGCATCTTTTTCTTCGGGTTTTAGCATTTTTAAGATATTGTTAAGGGGAGGGGAGAAACATTTTGCTGGTTTGACTGTTGAAATTCAGGCTTAACTTTGCAAGCTGTTAGCTGAGATGATCTCTGGTAGGATCTCACACCATTCTCTCTTTTAGGAGACATGTTTTGTGTTAAAGATGGTTTAATAAAACTATATAAGCTGTTGGAATAAATAACACAGCCTTCAAGTACTGAAGGTGGTTTTTTCTGCCTGGGTGTTTCTTCTTCCTCTGTTTTGCCTTGTAGCTGGTTGAGCTGCAGGGTGGCTACACCGGCTTCCCCTAACAGGGAGATACGGAGCTGTGGTACAAGAGGGTCCCTTCGCTTGGGTCCGTGAAGCCCCACGGGTTTGCAGCACCCAGGTGCAAGCAGATGTAGCTGGGCACAGAAAATGCTAAAAGTCCGCTCCCGCTTTCCCAGGTTTGCTGCCAGGCAGCACTTTTCCCACGGGTGTTTCCCCCACCCCTCCACGTTACTAGCCCAGAAGTCAAGCGCACGGCTGGCTTGGGGCTCGGCGGAGTGGCCCAGACACCAGCGGAAGAGGCTCTCTGCAGCACGGAGCCGTGAGGACGTCGCCG